GTTATATTGAAATCAGATCAAAACTGTTGGAGGAGTAGCATTTCAAAGGAATTTCACAGAAAAATTCTATTTCTAGTTCATCGAAATAAAAAAAACGATGCACTTTTTTATGTGTCATTATGTAGTCTACTTGTATGCCAAGTTATATTGAAATCAGATCAAAACTGTAGGAGGAGTAGCATTTCAAAGGTATTTCACAGAAAATTCTATTTTTAGTTACCATGGCAACACTGTTCATCGAAATCAAAAACCGATGCACTATTTTATGTATCTTAGTGTAGTCTACTTGTATGCCAAGTTATATTGAAATCAGACCAAAACTATAGAAGGAGTAGCGTTTTGAAAAATTGTTTACAGACAGACAGACAGAAGGACGGACGCCGGACGCATTACTATCGCATAAGCTCTTCTGGTCTCTGACCAGTAGAGCTAAAAATAAAGGGCCTCGCCCCCAAAAAGGGAAGATTAATTAATTGTATGCTGTTTAACGTCCCTGTCGTGAATTTTTTACTTGTGCAAGTCAAGGAAAGACAAAAATAGAGGGGGTCGTTAAAGAATCTCAGGAACCACAGGACCATAAAGCTGAAACTTTTAAGGAAGCACTCCAGGAGTAAGGGTAGTGAAGATGCCAAACTGTTCAAATCATGACTCTTAGGTTTAGCGCAGGGTCACAATAGGACACCCTAGTTTTACACTAAAATATATAGGACAAATCTTCTAAAGAACCACTTGGCCAGATCTACAAAAGTTGAAGCTGGTGAAGAACAGCATGGCCATTATGATAGTGACGCAGGTGAGCATTGTGGTCCATTGAACTCATGTTAACACAGTGAACATGATCTTGCACGAATGGTTTAAAGTGTAAGCTTCCAATGATTCTCCATTGCAAATAAACGTCCACGAAAAGACTTTTATACTTTTTCCGTGAGTGAAAAACTTGCAAGAAGGATCTTGGGTCAAGGTCAGCATCTAGTTATTCTTCATTACTAAACCATAGCTGAAACAAGTTTTATACTCTCGACTTTTTCAAAATGACCTGGGTTCAAGGTGAAACCAGACCCTTGTAACATAACTTTTAAGTTTCCAATAATTTTTATTTACTACATCAAAAATTTAAAATGAAAATATTTTTTTTACTTATTCGTCCAGTGACTTTGAACTTGTTGAAATGAGCTTTCATGACACTGTCGGGTCACAAGCAATTTTTGTACTCGGTATGGGCTTTCATTGTTTCTCTTTATCAAAGATATAGCCCAAGGAAGTTGCTAGGACAGACTTGTGGACGAATAGACAGACAGACAACGAGATTTTAAATTACCCCTACGTTTGCAGAGGGTTTAGAAAATTCCTAGTATGAGACCTGTAGTAGACATCCAGATTACGTATGCTCTTTATAATGTTTTCAAAAAATTAAGTTCGAATTTGATTTTCAAATTTGAAAAAAAGTTGTTGGGTTAGAGTTGTGTTGACAAAGGGGGTACCGTATATGCAAATCTTTGCAAAAGATTGACTTAGTGAAAAAAAAAGCAATTTTTCGCTCAATATTTTTCATAAATTAAAATTCATGCAGTATGTACATGTATACGTCTCTGATATATTTACAAGTGATCCGCATTACAAAAAATAGCTTTAAAACATCCGGACTGAAGGGGCACTATGGGGAGTCATAATTTGAATCTACACAACCTGGGATGCTTTCATGTTATTAACAAGAATTATTATGACGATGCCTTTCTCGAGAACAATGCACCTGAACTTTACTGTAATTGAATGTTAAAGTTCAATGAAAATGTATTTTTTTCTGGCTTATTTTGTTTAGCATGATCTTGAAGGGCAAGACAGTCAATCGCCTTAAAGCAATATATGGCGTATGTACAATGAAAATTATTAGACTAAAATTATAAGAACTTATTATGTTCCCCAAACGAAGTTGGGGAACATATTGTTTTTACTCTGTTTCTTATTATTATTATTCTTATTATTTTTCTTCTTCCTGGGAAAATTTTGTCCACGAGTGATCTTGTAAACTATACATCCGACTTAGGTGAAACCTTTTTAGGGTCAGTAGGCATGTTATGTAGAGTTGCCGAACGAAGGTCATTTTGCGCGCACGTGCTTGCAAGAGCGCGCACGTGCAACACGTGAAATGACCAATATAATGGATATTGCCGTAACTTTTCTATATTTTGATGAAATTTTTTGAATCTCATAATGTAAGGATACATTAGTAGTATAGACAAGATAGCATGGTCAAAATAGCAAGATCTAACGCGCATGCACGTGCGCTTCGCTCTGATTGGCTGAAACTAAAGTCTCAATATCTTTCTTGTTTCTTGTCATAATCCTTTGAAATTTTGAACATAGTCCTACATTATGAAGATCTACCACATGATATATAAGAATTTTCATGAAAGCATGCGCATGTGCGCGTGCTGCAAGCTGATTGGCTGAAACTTTAAATGGCAATATCTCCTTTGTTTTTTGACGAAATTCTTTGAAATTTAAAATATAGTCATGCATTAGGATATCCTACAAAATGATATAGAAAAAAAATCATGATATCACGCGCATGCACGTGTGCTGCAATCTGATTGGCTGAAACTTTAAATGGCTATTTCTCCTTTGTTTTTTGACGAAATTCTTTGAAATTTAAAATATAATCATGCATTAGGATATCCTACAAAATGATATTAAAATAAATCATAAAATCACGCGCATACACGTGTGCTGCAATCTGATTGGCTGAAACTTTAAATGGCTATAACTCCCTTGTTTTTCAACCAAACAGGATGGGATTTAGAACATAGATAGATGTAAGGGACTCCTTCAAGAAGGTATGATCATCATGCACGTGCACGCACGTGCATGCATTTGAACGAGTGAAATTAAAAATACACTTGAATGAGTGATTTTTAATAGTTTTGGACTGAATGCTTTAATAAATAGTATATTAGAATATATAGATAGTGTAGACAAGATAATATGGTCATAACGCACATGCATTCACATGCGCTTGGGTGCAATGCTAAAAATTGAATATAATTGGTATCCTTCTGGAAAAACGTTGTTAAAGTCAAAAATGCACAGAGTTTGTCTTATTTAATGAAACTTGCAGGGAATATGGCACCGAAAGGGAGTTGGGGAGCGTTTGGGGAACATCTGTAACGGTTCCCGTTACAATTAGCACTAGTTATTATTATTATTATTCTTTTTTCTTCTTATTTCTTCTCCGGTAATTTTTTGTCCGCGAGTGTTCTCAGAAACTGTTCACCAAACAAAGTTAAAACCTTTTTAGGGTTAATAGGTGTGTTGTGTAGATGTGCCGAACGAAGGTCATTTTGCGCGCATACGCATGCACGTGCGGGCGCGTGAAGTGAGTGAAATGTCTGATATAATTTATATGGCCATAACTTTTACATTTTTTGATGAAATACTTTAAAACTCATTATATAAGGATATATTAATAATGTAGATAATATGACATGGTCAATAAATCACGAACTCACGTGCATGCACGTGCGCTGCCTTCTGATTGGCTGAAACAAAAATCTCAATATCTTTTTTGTTTTTTGCGGAAATGCTTTGAAATTTTAAACATAGTCATGCATTAAGATATACTACAGTATGACATATAACAATTTTCACGAAAACACGCGCATGCACGTGCGCTGCAATCTGATTGGCTGAAACTTTAAATGGTTATATCTCCTTTGTTTTCTGACGAAATGCTTTGAATTTTAAAACATAGTCATGAGTTAGATATCCTGCAATATGATATACAAAAAATTTCAAGAAATCACGCGCATGCACGCGTGCTGCAATCTGATTGGCTGAAACTTGAAATGGCTATATCTCCTTTGTTTTCTGACGAAATGCTTTGAATTTTAAAACATAGTCATGCGTTAGGATATCCTGCAATATGATATACAAAAAATTTCAAGAAATCACGCGCATGCACGCGTGCTGCAATCTGATTGGCTGAAACTTGAAATGGCTATATCTCCTTTGTTTTTTGACGAAATGCTTTGAAATTTAAAACATAGTCATGCATTAGAATATCCTACAATATGATTTAGAAAAAAAATCATGAAATCACGCGGATGCACGTGTGCTGCAATCTGATTGGCTGAAACTTGAAATGGCTATAACTCCCTTGGTTTTCAACCAAACAGGATGGTATTTACAACATAGATAGATATAAGGGCCTCCTACAAGAAAGTATGGTCATCATGCACGTGCACGTACGTGCATGCATTTGGAATGAGTGAAATTGAATGGATGATTTTTAATACTTTTGGACTAAATGCTTTAATATAGAGTATATTTCAATAAATAGAAAATGTAGATAAGACGATATGATCATTACGCACGTGCATACACATGCGCACGCCTGCAATGTTAAACTTAGAATATAATTGGTATCCTTCTGGGAAAACGTTGTTAAAGTCAAAAATGCACAGATGTTGTCTTATTTAATAAGACTTACATGGAATATGGCACCAAAAGGGAGTTGGGGAGCGTTTGGGGAACATCTGTAACGGTTCCCGTTACAATTAGCACTAGTTATTTGTATCATTACTTTATATAAAGATAGAACTTTTCCGTAAATTACAAAATCAAAGTCAATTGCGTTATAAAGATATCACAATTTAATTTGGATTCTCGGAATTTTCTCCGACTCGGAAGAAAATACAAAAGATTTAAATAACACATTACAGAGAAGATAAAACTATTATTAGATGAAAAGAGGTGTTCTCCTTGTTCAGAATTGTATGAAAAGCTTTAATTTAAATGTATTAACTATATTTCTTTACTTAATTTTATATTTTTTTGATCAGTTACGCCATATATGGCTTTAAATACAGTAAATGATTCGGTGACAATGAGCTTAATTTTAAATCAAAGCCAATTTAAAATAGTTGGTTCTGTTAGTCCAAATACAATATCAAGATAGTTAAAGTACTTTCTTTTGAGAAAACTAGAAATTGAACATGAATAAGAAAAGTGTATAAAGATTTATTGTACATCTTCAATCTTGATTTTCTACAAATCATAAAAAATTCCTTCAACTGATCAGTTCAACGAAGCGCGAAGTGGAACACTTGGGGCATCTGGTATTTTTCTGCAAAAAAAAAGAGAATTATAAGGAATATTTTTCTTAAATAATAATATCTGGTAATATAAAAAGAATTTAAAAGCTAATATCCACGACTCTAACACAACATTACGTAGTCTGCTCCTTTGGCCGATAATGAACTTCTGATCATGAGCATTTTTTATGCAATTTGCATACATCTATCTCATTAACATATTTTTGATAACAAACTACGCACGGAAAGACAAATAAACCTAGAAATCTAGAAAAAATCAACATTGTAATATATTACATTCTTTACCTTTTTCTGAAAATATCCTTCAATTGAATCTGAATTTTTGACATATCTATAACTTGATATTAGGCAAAATATTAACCCAAAATTTGGAAACAGGAGGGGACATCGGTGTTGACGTTTTCCTGCCATGTCAGATAATGAAATTGCTTTTAAAGAAAGGCATGGAAAGGGTCCGATATTTGGGACTTGCCATATACATGTACTGCGGTATATATATAAATTTGTTCAGAAATTAACAGGAAAGACAGGATTTGTCGTTGCTGCATCTCATAAAATCGTTTTATCATAATTTCAATTGATTAAATGATCATTAAATTCAAGCAAAACTTATAACACAATAAATAGAAGGTAAAAACGATTACATACAGAAGATTGCTTAGGCTTCTTTTGGATTTCGCCTTAATTATGACTTTTCCATCCTTTACTTTCACTTTCAGTTTACTTCTTCTCCCCCAAAGAAAACCTTCCACGGGTGTTGTGAACAGTTCCATAGATATCAAAAGCAGAATAAGGACAAATGTACCTGAAAACTAATTCATTTATGAAATATTAAACAAGAGGTTCATGAGTCACAATACTGACCTGAGTTACTGTAGCTAATCTGTTCTTAATCAGTAGATTTTTCCCCAATATATGCGTTTGTAAACACAAGATAATAGATATTATTTTAATGATAATCATTCTTTAAAATTAAGTAAACATGTTTTGTTTCTTTTCAAAAACACTATTTTTTCCAGAACAGATTTTGAAATTAAAAGAGTGTATCATTGCTCTAAGTCAAATTAATGTACCGGTACATAGAAATTGGACGGCTAAGGGATGGAGAAATTAAGAAGAAATCAAATTGATGGTAGAACGTTGAAACCTGAACAGCTAAAACATTTTTTCAACTACATACAGAACATATAATTAAAAATAGGTTACACGATATATCGTTAAGCTTGTCTTAGACTTTTGCGAAAATCAGTTTCAAAGAAACATAAGATGACGTTCTTACCTTCATCGTTACAAGTATGTCTTAAACTCACTTCAAAGTTAATTAAAAAGCTGAAATTTATAGATACAGAATTAATGACCCGTCATCATTAAGCCAGTAAGAATTCAAACGCCCATAATGTCATGCGTTTTCGATGCTTTGATATAATTATAAACTTAGGAATATGCACAAAATTAATTCGAATTTCATCTGCACAACGCATGCATTTACGTCATCATATTTATTTGTTATGAATTGATAATGAAGCGGTTTTCAATTTATTTACGTCGTGCATGTATATTTTTCTTGTTTTAATTTCCTTCTTTTATTATTTAAAAAAGTGCATCTAAAAGTACAACCAAATTTCTACAAAATTCCCAGGCTGAAGGTGATTTGTATTTTTTTCTAAATGAAGAGCCATCCCATTCTCTCAGTAGACAGAATCAATCCATGGCCTCAGGGAAAATATTGAAAACAAAAATCAAAATGTGTTTGTGAAACACTAATGCCCCCGTATGGCAACATGGCGAAGATTTAACTTTTTTTAAACTGTATTTCAGCCACTACATTTAGAGAGAGCCAATATGATATATGGTTTTAGATAATAAAAAAAAAAAATAAAATGACCTCGGAAGTGGACACTCTAGACATGTTTCAAGGACAATTTCATTAGATTTTGGGACTGGACGGATTTAAGCGCATACCTTACATTCTTCTTGTTAAAATCATGACCCCCGGGTGTTAGGCGGGGCATAACAGGTAATCAAAGTTTTACATGGGAGAACACTTTTTAAAATCTTCTTAAAAATCATTGGGACAGAAAAGCCGAAACTTATGTGAAAGCCTCTTGGGGTAGTGTAGATTCTAAAATGTAACAAGAGACCCATGGGCCTTATAGGTCACTTGAGCATTATGCAACTTTCCAGTGACTGAATTTGATTCATGTTTTAAGCCAGATGCTATGGCATTCACAATTTTGAAAGAAGCATCATTGATCATTATAACAATACACTTAGCAGTTGCTTCGTTTGGTTACTGAATACCCAAAAGCAGGGTAGGGGAGCAAAAAATGCATGTCAACTAATCAGTAGTGCCCCTTTCACACATGAACCCCTGACCCTTAGGCCTAGATCCAAACATTGCACAATTTTTAAAAAGGCATCCTTGCTTTTCAAAAATATTTGATTAATATCAAGGAGCAGATTTCAAACAATTCATTCATTTTTAGTATATAAGTACCCCCCCCCCCCCAAATCCCGTCTATGGTACCCCTGACCCAGGGGCCTTGAAATTCACAATTCTGGAAGATTAGGACCCTTGCTCATCATAACTATATAGGTATGTTCACCTGCTTAATACCTAGGAGCAGAAAGGAAAATTTTCAAAGAATTCATGTATTATCAATAGAGCCCCGCCCTTACACCAGAAACCCGACCCTGGGGCCATAAAATTCACAATTTTGGAAGAGGTATTCTTGTTCATCATAACTATATACCACAGGCACTTGTTTCTGTAATAATTTTTTGACCCATAGTATAATAATAACACAAGGTATCTAACTCCGATTTACACCGAGTACCCCCCTCCCTTAGAATCGCGCTCATTTACACTTTCAGAGGAAATACACGGGTAAACTGTTTATACCTATGTCTTCTACGATAATTTATCTACACAACCATATCTGGCATACTTGTCTTTATTTTCTTTTATCTCCGTAATCAGCGTCAAAACTCTGCTCGCCGAGCGGAAAGTAAAACTGTACCATAGAATTGTATGTTTTAATCTCGGGCAAAGAGAAAAATTAAAGAATGCATGGGTTTAAAAATTCAATCCCAGATTTTAAATATTGCATTGAATTAATAAAATTTCATAGTGTCTTATTTTCCATAAAAACGCTACGATGTTTTCCGGTGTAATTTTAGAAACAGATTTTTAGCCAATCAAATTCGAGGTCTAATTCTTTGCCCGAGACTATAACATACAATTCTATGGTACAGTTTTACTTTCCGCTCGGCGAGCAGAGTTTTGACGCTGATTACGGAGATAAAAGAAAATGAAAGAAAAAGTGAGCTAGCTCACATACCCCACGCTCCCCCAAAACTTGACGGTGAAACACATAATGAAAGGCACAGTGCTTTTTAAATACATAGTATAGATCAAAAAGGGCAATAATTGAAAAAAAATCTTCACATTAAAATGTCTTACATATGAGGACATTTAAATGTGGAATGAAGTTTCTAGATAAACAATGGAATCAAAATTTCTTGGCATTATACAAATCCAAACATTAATTTGAAGTGGTTGGGGGGGGGGGGAGAAATTTTCTTGAATAATAGGCAAAACTCTTTGGGATAAAAGAAACTATATACAACAGTTTAAGAGGAGTGGTTCTGACAAACTGTTCATTTCTATATTCAAAATATGGCCAAAAAGTCTAAGTTGGAAAGTGTGGAAATTCCCGGAAAAATAAAGGAATCGGAATTTCCTGGTAATATGCACATCTACACATTGTGTCCTAAATAACTGCAAAGTTTGAAGAAATTCTGTGCAGTGGTTTATGAGGAGTTGCGCTGACAAACTGTTCACCTCTATATTCAAAGTATGGCCAAATGCCTAAGTTAAAAAGTGCGGAAATTCTTGGAAAAAATGATGGAATCGGAATTTCCTGGTAATATGCACATCTACACATTGTGTTCTAAATACCTGCAAAGTTTGACGAAATTCTGTGCAGCGGTTTATGAGGAGTTGCGCTGACAAACTGTTCATCCCTATATTCAAGGTATGGCCAAATGCCTAAGTTAAAAAGTGCGAAAATTCCCGGAAAAATAATGGAATCGGAATTTCCTGGTAATGTGCATATCTACACATTGTGTCCTAAATAACTGCAAAGTTTGACGAAATTCTGTGCAGCGGTTTATGAGGAGTTGCGCTGACAAACTGTTCATCCCTATATTCAAGGTATGGCCAAATGCCTAAGTTAAAAAGTGAGGAAATTCCCGGAAAAAATAATGGAATCGAAATTTCCTGGTAATATGCACATCTACACATTGTGTCCTAAATGCCTGCAAAGTTTGACAAAATTCTGTGCAGCGGTTTATGAGGAGTTGCGCTGACAAACTGTTCATCCCTATATTCAAGGTATGGCCAAATGCCTAAGTTAAAAAGTGAGGAAATTCCCGGAAAAAATAATGGAATCGGAATTTCCTGGTAATATGCACATCTACACATTGTGTCCTAAATACCTGCAAAGTTTGACGAAATTCTGTTCAGCGGTTTATGAGGAGTTGCGCTGACAAACTGTTCATCTCTATATTCAAGGTATGGCCAAATGCCTAAGTTAAAAAGTGCGGAAATTCCCGGAAAAAATAATGGAATTGAAATTTCCTGGTAATATGCACATCTACACATTGTGTCCTAAATACCTGCAAAGTTTGACGAAATTCTCTGCAGGGGTTTATGAGGAGTTGCGCTGACAAAAAAAGAGGACTGACTGACGGACTGACTGACTGACGGACGGGTCAAAAACATTATACCTCCCACAACTAGTTGCGTGGGGTATAATAAAGATATACCAGAACCCCTGACCCTGAGGCCATAAATCAACAATTTTGGTAGAGGCACTTGCTCATCATAACTATGCACTTAGTTTATTTATTTAATACCTAAGAGCAGAGAAGATTTTCAAAGAAATAATGCATTTTCTCTATATAATCTATAGAGCCCCACCCTAACACTAGAACCCTGACCCTGGGGCCATAAATTTAAAATTTTAGTAGAGGCACCCTTGCTCATCATAACTATGCACTTAGTTTATTTATTTAATACCTAGGAGCAGAGAAGAAGATTTTCAAAGAATTCATGTATTTTCACTATATAATCTATAGAGCCCCACCCTAACACCAGAACCCCTGACCCTGGGGCCATAAAATTCACAATTTTGGTAGAGGAACTCTTGCTCATTAAAATATGCACTTAGTAGGTTTATTTAATACCCAGGAGCAGAGAAGAAGATTTTCAAAGAAATTATGCATTTTCACTATATACTTATTTAGCCCCGCCCTAGCACTAGAACCCTTGACCCCAGGGTCATGAATTTCACAATTTTGGTAGAGGACTCAATGCTGATTACAATCATGCAAACAGTTTGACTGCTTGATGTCCAGGAGTAAAGAAGAAGATTTTCAAAGATTGCACTAATTTTAGTGGTTATGGCCCCACCCCTCAGGCCCCAGGGGGGCAGGGATCATGAAATTCACAATTGTTGTTCCCCTTGACCCATAGATGCTTTGTGCCAAATTTGGTTGAAATTGGTTTAGTGGTTGCAGAGAAGAAGCTGAAAATGTTCAAATGTTAACGCACAACGCACGACGACGGACGAAAACAGACCTTGGTAATAGGTCACCTGAGTTTACTCAGGTGACCTAAAAATTGTGGCATTGAAAGGGGGGCTTACAGCGAGGCCACAATAGGTATTTCAACGGAGGAAATCCGGTCGAAGCTCTAAGGATTATATTGTTAAAAGGTTTTGATTGAAAATCTTTCTTCCTCTTCTGGGTATTAAACAAATGAACCTTATCCATAGTTATGATGAGGATGGGTGCCTCTTCCAAAGTTGTGAGTTTCAAAAAGGTCACTGGGTCATGGGATCTGGTATGAGGCGGAGCTCTAATTATAATATACTTAAATTGCATTAATTTTCTGAAAGACTTCTCCTTTGCAACTTGATTGTTTGTATGTTGTTTAATGTCCCATTCGAGAATATTTCACTTATATACTGTAGACGTACTTTTTTTCACGGGGTTATAATTCCGCGGAATCTCAGTTTCTGTTTAATCCGCGGGTAGAAAATTACGCGGATTTTCTAGATTCTCACTATATGCCTTACATTTATTTTAAGTACGCTTGGACAAATTTCCGCGGAAAATTCGTGACCGCGTACATAGCGTAAATTAATACCACGCGGAAAAAAGTACTTCTACAGTATATAGACGCCAACAGATACCGATGAAGAGCTTATAATATAGACTTTATTCAGCACTTTCGGGATTTAAGAACTGAGAACTGAGGGATCTCTTCCTCAGCAGAACTTCCCGATTTGAATTTCAAATTTATTTGAAAGAAGACACAAGTGAGAAACGTTTTATTGCACAAAATTCAAATGTTTAATTGTCTCCTTTTCAACTTCTACTAAGATTTCTCTTAGCATAAGCCAATCCCGTTGTCTGGACTTTACTAAAACCGACAAGCAAATGATATTTTGTAAATAAATATTTTCAGTTGTGTCTATAAAACCATCGATGAAAAACCATTGCAACGTTAGTTTGTCACATTTATTTGATATTCTGTTCAATTCCTGCCCGACTGTAAGTACTCCAGAACGTAGTTTATCTGTATTTATATAACTCCCTGTGCATACAACTATCCTCTTTATAGTTTGAGGAACACGAAAAGATACTGTAATATAACTACCTGCGTCAAATCCATTTGACCAAAAGAATGTGTAGATATTTTTATCGTAAACATTTTCCAGACCAAATTCATCAAACTGACGCATATCTGTATAAAATTTTGCGGGGGGATTAAGGTACTTCGCTTTCAGTATCTCTTTAACTACGTCACGTCTATTGTAATAGGTGACGTTGGCGCTTTCACCAGTGTCAACGTAAAAGAAAAGAGGTGGCTGATATTGAAGATTTGTCTTATAGCTGACCAGTAGCTCGGCAAGCTGTACACTGTCATATGTATTGAGGATATCTACTGCCATTGTAGGCAAAGAATCTGTGTGAAATAATCGTCCATACAAGGAATTTTCTGAGAAGTGAATTTGGCTCCATTCTGTCTGCAGGGAATTGACATGCTGTTTCAAGATCTTGAAGAAGTGAGGTGTGCAGATAGAACCAGGACGAAGTTCAACAAAATACTTTGAAAGATTTTTAGAATATAGATATAGAAATGATTCATCGATGTTTGACTTCGCATCAAAAGATGATATTGTTTTGTTGGTCTCGTATAGTCTATTGTATGAATCCTCGTCAAAATAAATATCTACCGTAGGCCTGATAACGTGAATCAAGCCCTCGTTGACAAAATCCATGTATCGTCTTTCCAGAACTTCATGCAGAGGAAATTTTGATTGGCCTCTGATAAAGGGAATGTACATGACGACAATGTAATGCGTTCTATCCTGCACAGCCGAGTTTTTGAGAATCGAACTTAAAGTCTCCTGTACTAGGTTCAGTTCACTCTTGTTTGAGCTTCTCAGACGAATTCCAATGGAGAGGTAAACTGAAATTATAAAACCAAGTGTATTTTTATGATATGCAATCAATGTTGTAAAAGTAAACTGATGTACACATGTACGGTAAATATAAGCTTTTCAAAGCATTATTGTTTCCGATTGTGTCGGAAAACGTTTTCTTGTTAATTCCCAAATGTCAAATCTTTTTATGTACATACTGAATTGTCGATGGATTTTCCTCTTATTTCATAACAAAGAGCACACGGCGGGTGTGATCGGTCGGCAGGGGATTCTCACTCCTCCATGACACCTGATTCCACCTCTGATGTTTTATTTGTTATTGGACTTTTGAGCTTGAATACTGTTCGTTATCTCCATATACTCTGTATTTAATGTTATGATAAAGGGTGATGGTTCTCATCGCAAATCACGTCATGCACTTGACTCCTCATGGGACTTGTTTTGTCTTAAGATCTAAGTCATGAGAGAAAGTGGTTTTCTATGGTGTTGAAGTAAAAATCTGTTCGTTTGTATGTTATCTAACGACCTGCACTCCTAAACAGTTAGGTCTTTATCGTAACAACACTTCAATTTTTATGGTTTCATCCGAAGGATCGGTTTCCAAGTCCAGCTGTGGGATTCGAACCAACGACGTAAGGATACTTGCGTAGCAAATGCTTGCTTAATGTATCAACGCGAAAGACAAGTGACTTTCACATCGTATGCCAGGTGCTCCTCTGATTACAAAACATGACTCCTTATACATCACCAAGTACATATTCTATCATGTATAATTTAAGTTTATTTTTTGTCCAAACTCATTGAAATTTATTTGAACTTGCCGATCAATGAAAGACGGTACTGCTGCCTTAAACTAATCATTGGAATGTATTGGGCATTAAACCAACATCTTCTAATTTGGGAAGTGGTTTGAGTGTCTACTCCAGGGTCGCGAAGGAGTTGATCCTTACCTCACGGGTTCGAGTCCCACCGAGGGATGTGGAGACCGGTCCTTTGGACGAGACCCTATAAAGCAAGGTCCCGTGTCGCAGAAGGTGCTGGCAGACAAAATATTTCTCGCTGTTCAATGGCATTAAGTGCCGAAAAGATGACAAAATTTGTAGCTCCCCACCGGCAAGAGGTGGCTTCTCCATATGAGTGGAAAAATTCTTGAGAGGGTCGTTAAACAACATAATTTAATCTTCGCAGGGGAAGGGGGGCATGGAAATTAATTAATAATTAATCATGAAGTCACAACAGTAGAAACATATGTGGAAAATGCACAGACAACGTCTCTGACGGTTACAAAAGCCAACATGGTTCTTTACCAGACCCTCTGCTCGTCGAAGATATGAAGAGACCGCTGAGTTGTACAAGACTCAACCGTAGGTAACTGCGGAAGAAAATCAATTTGCAAAGTTCGAGTTCTCTCTTTTTCCAGGCTCTGTTTTAAGAGCTCAAGTGACGAGTAGCACTTTGACGTGTGCTCGGCTTAAATATTTCGATTACCCTTTTTAGAAGAAGGAAATCCAAATACATCCACCACACTTTGATCCATGTTAGCAACCAGCATATACAGCTTGGCCAGCTTAGGGGCCAGTAGAGGAACTCCCTTTGTGATGAACTTCGAGACTGGGACGTCAGCTGTTATATTGGGTTGATCTTGGTGACAACACGATACATTCTAGGCAATGCAAGCACATATCAGGGTATAATAAACACAATATTTGACAAAAATAAGTACAGTTAATAGACCCTTTGTATTATATTGTAACAACATACGTGAAAATATTCCAACGCGAACATTAATTTAACAACGATATTTGGATGATTAGAACAGGATTTAAGCATTTCTCTCATATGAAATAATTAGCAAAGATGTATCTACCTCAGGAAATTAATTAAATTTTATGAATCTTACATTCGTAGACCTTAAAATTTTACAAAATATTTCTTACCTTTTGAATCAATTTGGAATATCGAGGAACTGAAATGATTTTAAAACAAAACTGACAAAGAAATTGATACATGTATTTGAAGAAATTGTATCATTTATTAAAAGAGTGTTAAATTAAATTACCTGCAGATAAAAATATGAATTGCGTGATGATATAGGCGCTGAGTACCACCATAAACAAGCGAATGAGGCTCGGCAAATTAACCTTAATCCAAATGGCCATTTGCCGAATGGTTAGTCAACTTGGAATACGTGGAAAAGTCTATCGAAACGAGAAGATTTAAAAAAAATAAATGGGAGACAGCCATTGATTCTTTTCCGCCATATAGGTACTATGTAAACAATAAAATGAAAAAAAAAGATCAGATTCGTTTTTTTTATTTTGAAAAGGCAAGATTAAGGTACTTTCAACAGTAATATATGTTTTCTTTGGTAATTAGCATGGGAAGATTTATTTACATACGTTGCATAAAAATACATATAAACGCAGGAATATTTTTTAATGCGATAACAAGGAAATAATACCTCAATTTTTAAACGTGTAAATGATTTTCACAAGTGATTTTGAAAAGGTTTTAATTTCCTTATACTTACCCCTTTTGTAATTGAAAACTTGTATTTGAGCATTTCTTGTAAATTCATTTTTTTTTGTGATGGAATACTTAATTTGTTTTTTAAAGATTTGTTTAAAATTGATCATGAATGAAAATTAATTGTAAATATTCAAATGTTTGAAAAGCCGTTCTTTGCACGGAACACATACATCTATATCTCCATTGACTCGAAATCAATATTGGAATCTTGGAGGGTTTTTATATATAAGCTGATATGATAAGAGCAAAACACTAGAAAGACCAAATCAATAGCATGTTCGCCTGCAAATAACATCATCGATTTCAGCAAAAGGCCAAAGAATACTTTTAGGAGAAGTGATTTAGAAAATTAAATCTTTTTTTTTTTCATTTTGAGTTTGTACAATTATCTTCGAATACCTGTTCGGAATAGCGTGTTGACGGAGTAGAAAAGTCGATAACCATCTCGTTTGGAAAGTTTCCTTCTTAGACTGGTTTCTAGTGCATATTTATTGTTAATAAACATAAATAAAATGAGCAAATGTAAAGTATCACATTTTTATAATGCCCTTTATATTATTATTTTTTCAAGCCAAAGATTAAATATTTAATATTTGTAATGGACTCATAGGTATAGTTGTATGTGACGTCAGTTTGATAGAAAATATGGAAATTGCAGAATAAATTCCATTAGGAAGGAGATAAGAGTGTTTTTCTTGTTGGAACGTCGGTCGTCTTAATAATTTGAATCTAGTCTACGCCCTCTTTAACGTTAGGTTAAAAATCGACATCGGTAATGGAAAATATTCAACATGATTGTATATTTCCCTGCATAAAATGTTAAAGACAAGTACCGACCTTTTCCCCAAGTTAAATGATTTCAACAAACGAAAACATGGATGTTCATTTATAGGTAAAACACAGTGTGCGAAAAATAGTCTTATTTTCAGTTTAAAGTATGAATAAGAGTCAAGTTTCATAGGTTACAAAACATGTTTTCGTAAAAGTTTTTGTCTATGTATTCGAAGATACTTGTCAAATAGGTGCGCGACAACTTATTCAGATAATTCTGATATACCTCGCGGTTAACCAAATGTATGACATTTCAATGCATGTGTGGAAATCAATGAGTCATATATTTTAATTAAGCACAGTTTACTCAGGTGACCTAAAAATATGAAAATGACATTCAAACAGGGGTTGTTTATGATATGTTATTTGAAAATAACTTTAAATTTTTGTATTGTATTCTTTTTGTGTACACTTTCAAAGTCGTTTACAGTTTCATGCAGTTTTGTCTTTACGAATAATGTTAATTTGTGATCAATTTTTTTGCATAAAAAGTTATCACAAAATAAAAAATAATGAAAAACGTAATTAAATCATAAGTAAGATCATTTCTGTTTTGCTTCCGAATTTCGTTGAAAATTTAAACATTTCTTACATTATGAAGAATAAGTTTTCTTTAAGCTTTCTCATACTTTTTTTTTCATTTGCATTACAAAATTTGATATAATTTTAAGTTATTATAATCAGCAATAAAATGAAATTGTAACAATTACTTACTTGCTGGCAAAGGATCATTTCTCGTAGCCAATGACATAGACGTCCGCTGGTTACATTTATCTTAAATAGGTTTTTTCCTCAGTAGAGCTGTGGAATCTGAACACAACCAGCCAATAAGAATTATCGACTTTTATCGTAAGATAATGCATTAGGAGGGTATAGAACGCCATCGATTGATAGAAGCAGTAAACTTCTATTTTCAAAGATTTAAAAAAAATTAAAAAAAACATAAAAAAAAATAAAAAATAAATACATTGATTTTATAGACATGCATATTTTTAATGAATACTTAGCCTGGAAATTGTAAAAGAGACCTACACAGTAAAACACGCCTATTACATTTACGATGTGCCAGAGACGGACGATTTTGCTTCGTTATAAGCGTAAGTTACAATAAAAGAAATGACATAATGGTTTGATGACTGAACGTAAAAGCATATTTGGACAAAATTTTTCAAGTAATATCGACTTTTTGAAATGCGAATATAAAATGCTACAAAATAGTTGTATTTTTCTTCAATTTCTTCAATTTGAATGTCGTAAAATACTTTCTTACAAGTCATGTATTTTGATCCATCACTCACCAGAGGGCATATCACACATCGCCTCTGTCAAGTCTAAATGCCAAGATTCTTGGCAAAACTTACTTTTACCTATTGCATTATAAATTATAAATTTAAAACTTCTATATTCTTGCTACAAGTCTTAAATAAAAGTTTTTTAATGAGAATTAGAAACAGATACCGCCTTTTCGCCATATCTTACAAGGGATTATTTCTCGGCAGGATATTACGAACGTGGAAAACTTAAAACGCATTGCCGATAAAAATCATGGTTTATAATTTTTATAGACAAACAACTTGTAGCATTGACACATAGAAATGTAAAGGTGTTAATCTTCTTATGAGCCATTTTATAAACAACATTTGAAAAAAAAATTAAGTTCCTCCGCTTCCGTACTACGTTTTAGACGCTGACAGAGGTATAAGTGGAACGATAACTCTAGATCTGGGTAGAGATTGGTATCTTAATAAAAGCTGTATAACTAGCTATAGGGAACTTCTAAATCGTAATTTTCCATAGTGTCTAAACAAACATGAGGATTTTTTCTATGCAATGACACTTGAACATACCATGACGTACTCGATACTCGGACAACGGCCATATTCTCTCTCTCTCTCTCTCTCTTTGACGTTCAATGATGGAGCGTTCTCGTCTCCACAAAAAAGTTTCAGCTAGTTTTCCAGTCGCTTTGAGAAGAAAAAGCTATATTCCTGGAAAGGTAAAAAGTATTTTTCTCTTCAAAGATCTAAATACTATTTAGATCTTTGGGAAGAAAAAAATCTCTTTAGTAAAAAGTATTTTTAAACTTTCAAATATGTTTGCCAATTTACACCATCCATTTTTGAAGGCATATTAAATACAGATTAAAGCTTCCAAGCTCATAACTAACTTTCTTTCTTGCGAGAATGAAGGGAGAAATGATGTCCATGTAAAATTAATCTCTAAAATATGGATCAGGTTCTTAGCATTTTTAGTTTAACACATTGCCTTATAGTTTGTGTTTAAAAGCTATCTTACACACATTGAGTGTATGCCATCCCAATATATCGATTTATTATGACCTGTTCATGTATTTTCGAACAAAGATAAGGTCGCATCACTTATAATTTATAAGAATAAAATCATATTGAAACGGGTTACAATTAAATAAACATTTACCCCCAACTCCCTTTGAACTTTAGAGAGATTAAATTTTTATATATTGAAAAAAAATGCCTTTACCACCAGGAAACATTGATTCCTCCAAACACAGCAAGTAGAGTCTGTATCTGAAGAAATTTTACTATGGAAAAGAAATAGAAAATTAAAGATTTGGGCAGGTAGTGTGTGAAATATTAATAATACCCGTTAAATCAATTTGTTTCACGGAGGAAGGGGTTAAAAAAACCGTTGATTTCTGTGTGAAACACACTTTTTAAAACCACAAAATAATGATTGATTGATTATTGGTGTTGTAGACCGAGTCGGCAATATCTCAGCCTTATTTTGGCGGACAAAAGAACCCTCTCTACACTGCACACTCAAGAGTTCTTATTCTAAGGTATTTTTCTGCAGTTAGAGTGATTTGCCCTTAGATCTTAATTCTAAAAAATAGAAATTTACAATATATAATTCAATTTGTAATGCATTCAAGTATTCTTAACAATTTTGAAGGCCAAGGTAAATTAACTGAACGTGTTATTTACATGTATTTTCTCTTTTGAAGTAATTAACAGCGATTTCCATTCACTGCTACTGTGTTGTCTTTCAACATTTTTCTCGGGGCTAAATGCCACGCACCATACAGTGAAAATTAAATAAATAAACTCAATATTAAGTCCTTTATACAATATATTTTTGTCAATGTCTAAAAAAAATTTTTGTTCTTGTGTAGAGAGGGTCCTTAACAGTTATCTCTCTTTATTTTTATAAAATCAGTCATGTTTAATGAAAATTTAGTACATAAATATCTAAATATATACATATATATGGAAAAAATCATTTAAATATGTCAACTTATCAAAATTGACTTGGATGTAGGCTGCAGAACTAGATACCGTTAGCTGTTCTTTCGCAGAGTGATTCGATTCTAGACAGAAAAAACCTGAGAGTTTAATAACTGCAAGGACTTCATGACTAGATATTCATATAAAACATTGAACTGTATATACTACGATGCAAACATTTTACAAAAATATTTCCATTTCTAATATTTTTTCTCTGTGATAACTGTTTGAAAGTTGGGGAAGTTTATTTCTTGATTTCTGCTGTAAATTAGGCAGGTTGGTGAGCTAAGGAGGCGTGTGTTCTGTCTCTGTGTCTGACGCTAAGGAGGCCAAATATGCATGTAAATCTCGTGCTGCTGCCTTTGTGTTTGACGTCAGTGTGCAAATTAAATTGGCTATCTTCCTCAATTTATATCTATTAGTCTACATTTTTAATGTCTAAGTCTACAATTTTATTTCACAATGAAATGGAAATATAAGAAATCACTGTCTAGTTTTGAGAGTATGCCAGGGACATCAACAATGTTTTTTTAGCATAACGGGCTTCGCCCGTTATGAATTAGGTGATTAATCGTTTTAGAACTTTCTACCTCATACTTAAGATCTAATTTATGCTATAGTTGGTGACACGTGTGTTCCTTGGGACACTTACGTTTCTTTTTGCAAGCAAATTATTTATCTTCATTTTCCTACGTTATCTTAACAAAAAGCAGAAAAAAGACGTGCAATGTTTTTTATCTTATGAATTAGGTGATTAATCGTTTTAGAAATCTCTACCTCTTGTGACATTTAGGTCGTATTTACCGAGAGGTAAATGTACAACAAAAACCAAGGTAAATTTTTCTGTATTCTACACACCTTACCAGGTATTATCCGATATTGCATAACATGAATGGATGCTTTCAATATAATGCAATCAGTTTTCTGGTGATATTCAAATTCTTTGGAAATGACAATTTATGGTTTATTTATCCATGTCGCGTTTAAATATAAAAGTGTGTGCTAATAGGTCATTGATGAGAAGCATACCAATAGAGACAAGATACCTTAGCCGAAAGACAAACATGTCCATTCTCCAAGGTCAACATTGCACAGTACCTATCAAGCGTAAGTTTATACATTCCGCCGTATACCAATTGCGTGGCTTATCATTACCTTCAGACAACTTAAAATAAGTAAATCAACTATTATCAAACACGTCGTGTACCTGGGTAACATAGTGCTGAAATGATTAGACGACCGAAAAAACTACTGTAATTTATTTACAATCGAATTCTGTTAAAACTTCTTTACAAAATGGAAGAAAACAAATTTCAGATCGCCGACTACATCATTTTTGGAGCGATGCTCCTTATTTCAGCCGCAATTGGAGTATATTATGCTTGCGCTGGAGGAAAGCAACGAACAAATAGAGAGTTTCTTATGGCAGATCGCAGCATGAGATCACTTCCGGTTGCACTATCGGTTCTGGCAAGCTTCTTTTCGGCATCAACACTATTGGGTACCCCTGCAGAAATATACGAGTATGGAATTCAATACTGGATATCTGTATTTGGCGCCATGTTGGCCCCTCTGACTGGGGCTTTCTTGTTTGGTCCAATTTTCTTTAATTTGAAAATCGTTAGTGTATACGAGGTGAGCGACAAGAAAAGTTACACATTTGTCTAAATACCTGTTAAACAGCGTACAATTTGAGTAAAATGTTTGTTTCTCGTTTTTTCTTTCATTTCCATGTGTACATGTGTGGGAAGGTATAAGATAACATTGTATTATATATTTTCTTTCTGTCATTTTAGTACCTTGAACTCCGATTCCATTCCAAATCCGTCCGTTTATTTGCAGCAGCATTGTTTATTTTACGACTGGTAAGATCTAATCTAATCGTCTTCCAAATATATTTTTAAAGATGAATTTTCTTCAAGGATTTCCAACTCAATATTAAAATATTTATGTTGTAGATAATGGGAATGGGTATAGTTTTGTATGGACCATCAACAGCACTTGGAGCAGGTATAAAATTATCGAAGAAAGCAAACTTTTCTCAAAGGTGGACTTGAAACAAACAAATATACATCTAACATGTATTTACCTACACTTCGAATTCGCTTACGTGGCGCAGTAGTTGGAACGTTTGCGCTACAGTTGCGGAGTAACGTTGCGATTCCAAATCTAATTGCGGGACTTCTCCTGTAGTAGATGCTGACATGTAGAGAAAGCCGCAAGTGCCTAGTTCACAAGTGTTAAGTAAAGCCATTCATTTGCAAATTGTGGACTCTCAATACGAGTGAAAATTGCCGAAGTGTGTAAAACAAACAAAACAAATTGTTCTTACACTGAACAATCAATGAAGAAATTAGGTTTTCAATCAAACTCATAATTGTATAGAAAAAAGTTACAATCAGAAGTTAAAGCATACATTAAAATATGATCATCACTATATAACATGTAGTACAATGTATATTGATTGACGGTATATTACTTTACTGCAGAATCAGCAGTATTTCAGTGATAACGTGTTGTATAATTATAAAGGATGAAAAAAGGAATTGATTTGCATTAAAACGATCAAAATAAATGAATAACATTTTCTTGCATTCCATATAAAACGTTCAACTGTTGTTTCAAATGTCTCTCCTGGGTGTTCTCTTTGATTTGAATAGACAAAAAAGCTCGAGTGAATTTCTCTAGATTTTGAGTATGAAGACCCTCGTTTATGCAAGATCATGCAAATTTTGGTGAAGCGTGGCGTAATCTTTAGACTATAAGTTTCCAACATCGTTTAAATAGCACATAAAAAGAATAATATTTGCTGGAGATAATTTAACTTTGTATACATGTATTAGTAACAAAAAATTGTGAATGTCAGTGCACGCATCTTTAATGTTATGTAACAAGCATTCTAAGCTTGTGAATCTTTTAAATAAAATGACAATTGATTTTTCAATATATTTTTTTAAAATTTTAAATATATCTTATTTCTTATTATTAATACATATAAATATTTCAAACTGTATTGCAGTAACGGGATTTCCAGTTTGGGTGATTATTTTAATAGTTGGAGGAGTTTGCACGTTCTACACGACTTTAGTTAGTATTTATATTTTTGTGCTTGATTTGATTTTGAAACATTAGACAAACATAGCTTTTGAATCAAAAATAAAACTACTACTTAAAGTAAATTGTCACTTATCGATTTGTAGGGAGGGATGAAAGCCGTGATCTGGACCGATGTTTTTCAGACCATTGTCATGTTTGCTGGAATGTTAGCAGTTTTTATTCAGGTCTTAAAATAATTTTTGACACAAATGATGAGCAAACTTATTTGCAAATTCAATGATATCACTCAAAAATTAAACAAAACAGATAATAAATAATGAATATATCAAGAGCATCTTATTTGATGTATTGAATTTGCACACGCAAACACAATCTCATCATGAACTATTATTTATTCATTTCAATATTTCTAGGGATGTATTAAAGTAGGTGGCCTTGACGAAATGTGGAATATTAACTACCAAGGCGGAAGAATTAATTTCTTTAAGTAGGACATGCTTTTTATTATATACATTAGCTTAATTAATTAGATGGTGTTTAAATGTTCTACCCTTAATTATTTAACTTTAATCAAACAAAAGCTTTATAGATAACCAAAGTGCTAGCTTTTTCCGAATCACATGACCGAATGAATGGAATTTGTAAGAGTTTAAACACGATTTTTCTGTGTTTTTCAGCTTTGATCCAGATCCACATGTAAGACAGACATTTTGGTCGCTGACTGTTGGGATATATTTTGTATGGTTGTATCCGTACACTGTAGATCAACAGATGGTGCAGAGATTTTCCTCCGCTCGCTCTCTGAAAGATGCAAGATTGTAAGCTCCCTTGAATGGCCTGAACACGATTCGTAAAAAAGAATGAAAATTTCCCGCCATATTCTTTTATTCATCGTTTTATCTAATGGTCCCTATGAAAGCTGTTCATTTAGTCACTGTCCAGTGTGTTCAGTTGTCACCCGTATAGACAGACGAGTATATTCTACATATAAACTATTGTTTAACACTCGGTCGCGTCAAAAATAACTATGCTTCTTTTTTTTAACGGAAAGGGAGCGAAACCTAAGAAACGTATAACAGTTGCACATGTCAGTGCAGTATACAAACTTAAAATACAATATGCAATTAAAAAAAACAAGAATACGTGTCTTCCATTCCTCGCAGATACACGTGACAATAAAACAGTAAAGTGAATGCGAAGGGTATACCTCAGTGAAGACATCGGATATATCAACAGTATAAAATCTATTTTGGCATATGACTTTTTACGAGTCATGTTTAGCATAAAATGCAAAATGCTCAAGTTCAAATTAAAACAATCAAACATTTAAATCCAATTGAATCTTCTCAAACAACGATGAAACACCCATTTCCTTCCTTCTTCCTTCCTACAGATGCAATCATTTATGTTAAAGTAGCGATTTTCTTTTTTGTTGTTTCGTCATATTATTGACGAACTTTTTCAGACTCCTTTACATTTTAGCTATGACATTTTATCTTCAATGAACTAGTATATTTGATTTAAATTTTTTTGTTTTCCAACATTTGATTTATAAACAGTATGAACTATTTTCAGCGCATTGATATGTAATGTCCCTGGGATGTTCCTTCTGATAACATTGTGTTCTCTCACTGGATTGGCTATGTATGCCAACTACGTCACTTGCGATCCATTAAAAAATCATGATGTAGCGAACCCAAATCAGGTATCCACATGCATCAAGACAATCAAACACAAGTTTTCTTATCTATAACCACATTATTAAATTAATATTCAAATATATTAGCTCCAATGTCATTCTTTTCTTTTTTGTCAGCATCATTTATAAACGAATTAACGTCACATAAGCAATTTATGTTCAATACCTAGGCGTATTTTAGGTGGGGAGTAAACATTCTTTTCTAAAATATTAAGGCAAAAATCTCACGGAATACTGCATATACGATTTACAAGATAAACATTATTTGACATAGGCATGGATATATAAGGTCAGACGAGACGTTCCTCAATATCTGTTTTGTATATCTTCGAAATGTATGAAAAATATTCAAAATCTTGATAACATTCTAATTTCTAAACCAGTTTCTAAACGTTTTTACAAAATCCAAACACTTAAATATTTGAAATTGGAAAATTATCTTTCTTCCCAAAAGGATTATATAAGGAAAACTACCCCTGGTATCTTGCGGAAATGCCTGGTAAGGTACCTCAATTTTTTGTGAGTAAACATGTTTAAGTAGCAATACTTCAATGACAAAATTTGTTTAAAAAATTTATTTATTATTAAGGAACGTCTCGTCTGTCCTTCAAATGGGTTGTACCACGTTATTTCTTTTATCATGTTTATATGAGTATCAATTTTTCCATTCACATAAACAATGTATATTACTGATTATTGTTATCATTTCTGATAGAATATTATCTATTATAGCTCTTACCACATTTTGTGATGGAAGTCTTTGAGGATTTGCCAGGATTACCTGGGCTATTTGTAGCATGCATGTTCAGCGGCGCATTAAGGTATATTATGTCTGCTTCCGAAGTTTAGGAATGAAAATGTGAGAATCACATCTGCATGTGTCTTTTCCTGAACCAGCTTTGGAAATCTGCATCTATGCTTGATTTCATGTGTGAAGGATTACGATTTAAACGGTTAAAATCAGGAATGTTTAAGGGACTACGACCCTAAGCCAGGAAGGACAACTCTTTCATTTATAATTTAGTTCAAAACGTCTTTAAATGAAGCTTGAAAATTAAATGTTATCATGCAACAATTTTCATTATATGCATCTCAATAAGCTTCAAGGTTCTTTGCAAAGCTCCATAAATCACTTCTAATGTCATATCATGCTAATAAACAATGGTATCTAAAAATGCTTTTACGGGATAAAAATTTCTACTTTTAATTAGACCTTTCTGAGAAGTTCAAAGAACCTTGAAGCACATTGAGAGGCATACAATGAAAATTGTTGCATGAAAAGATTTAATTTTCAAGCTTCATTTAAAGACTTTTTGAATTAAATTATAAATTAAAGAGTTGTCCTTCTTGGCTGAGGGTCGGAGTCCCTTAAAAAGATAGATCGGCTCATTAATATTGTTAAAATCAGGAATGTGTAAAAAGATAGGTCGGCTCACACGGTCTCATCCGAAGGACAAACCTCCACGTCTCGGTTGGATTCGAACCCTTGACGTCACAAAAGATCAACGCCTTACTCCAAAACTCTAAAGCAAAAGCTTCAACTACTGCACCACTTGGGCGACATTATTTTCATTTGAAGGTGAAAGATAACTTGGAAAATTAACACAATGAATTGGAAAATCTAACGCAATCAAGAGTCCTGTGTTGCATGAATGCTTTGACTGCAGAATCTATATAAAGAGCATTTAATCATATACTTAAAAATTCATATTCTAAACAATAATTGGCCTCATGTGAATTCTAAATAAGTTGTTTCTTTAGCATCTTTTGTGATGTACTCAAATCATAAACTTTCCAAAACTTACTAAATGATAACTGTTTATGTTTTCATTCTATTTTCAGTGACGACGGTTAATATGTTTGTCACTTCTTTAGGAATATGTTTGGAATGTCTTAAAATATACGTGTAGAAGATATCATGAAATTCACTCTTATGAAGAAATATACTCATATTATTTAGAGACATATACTTATTTTACAGTTCCGTGTCTTCCATGTTGAACTCGTTGGCAGCTGTGACTTGGGAAGACTTCCTTAAGCTGAGATTTGGTCACCTATCGGAGAGCAATGCAACGAAAATAACCCGAGCTCTCGGTACTGTAATAATTGATTATCTTTTAAAGATACTACCCTTCACCATATTAATCTACAGGTACATTCTTTCCAGACACACGCGTTCAAAATTCACAAAATAACAGTTTTCTGTTTTTAAGAATAAATGATTTTTTGAAGCATTTTTGTTTGGTCTCCTGGGGATCGGAATGGCGTTTGCTGTTAAAGAGATGGGTGGGACTGTCCTTCAGGTAAATGTAGTCTCTTGAACATTTATTTTTATGTTTGTATTTTCAAAGAAATGTAACTTGCATAATTTTCTGGGATCAGTAATCATCCATATTTAACGTAATGCTTGTTATCATGCAGCTCTGTATCCACCCACATATAAGCTTTTAAATTAAAATAGAAACTATCGATTTAAATCATTATATATGCATTGCTTTTATGAATTCTTAGAAATATGTGACAGTGTTAATTTTCTGTATTTGTAACCAGAACAATTAAAAATTAATTATTTAAACGACGCTAAAAATATATACACAGATTTGGAAAAAAAATCAATCTCTATATTTTTCCCAATTATCGAAGAAAGCATTTACTTATTGTTTGCTGTCATGACAAATGAGTTTTCTTTCTGTAGGCATCTTTGACGTTTAATGGTTCCGCCGGAGCACCACTTGTTGGAGTTTTTATTCTCGGTGCTTGCTTCACCAGCTCTAATTGGATTGTAAGTAACCATGTTTTGAGGATGAGTACTCTTGATAAGCGCAATAACTCGCATATATCTGGAACTGTTTTGGTCTGTTGTTTAACGTCCCTCTCCAGAATTTTTCACACATATGGAGACGCCGCCACTTGCTGGTGGAGAAAAGCAAATTGCGTCCTACAATCAGCAGGAATTTATTGCAAATATTTCAATTTACACGTGTATTGAAATCCCATGAAAAAAGCAAAGATAATTAACTTAACTTTTTCTAAAGAAGAGAAAATAATTTAAGGAGAAAATAATTTTAGAAATGAACATGCTTGAAATTTGGCCCAGGATTAATGTGTATATGTGCGCCGTCTCAATCGTCCACGCTTTCCTAACTTAACATCATCGGATCAATTATTTTAAGCCCAACAATTTCCTGGGTCATGGTATAACCAGATTTCAAGTTTTGTACATGCATTAATCTTTATCCATAAAGTTTTTTTTTCTGATGTGTCCATTTTACTTTCAAGGAAAAACAAGTAAGTCAGAAAAATGTTTCTCTTGAATAATCTAGCAACATTACACATTCCTTTATAGTGTCCTTTTGTTTATAACTATTTGACTAAATTCTGCCATAAATTTCAAAATTTCAGTAATATTTAATCCAAGAGAATGGGGGAAAAAATCAACCCCTTGCAGTACTCCCTGTCGATCCTCCGTTGACAGACTTGACATATTACAAAAGAGTTCCAAATACCACTGTGTAAAAATTAATATTTAATTTGTCCGAACGAAATCGATTTGTCCTAACAAATCAACATTTTTTATCAGGCCCTCCAGCGGCGCCGTAATTAAAGTTGAACACGATTCGTAAAAAGAGCTTGTTCGCCATATTTGTTCGATCTCTCGCTATATCTATGGACCCTTATAAATGAAGTCGGTCGCTTAGTCACTGTTAAGTGTAATGAATTATCACCGGTTTACACGGACGTTTGCTATACAGCTACAAAAAATAACTGTACTTCTTCCAATGCAGGAAAGTAAGATACCAAAGACATTAACAACAGTTACACAGGTTAGTGCAATTTACAACCAAAGATAAATATGCGTAACTGCGATAAAATGTAAACAAAGGTAATGCAAGATAAACAGCACGAACACGTTTCGCCATTCCACGCCGATATCCGTGACAATAAAGCATGGTGTTGATCTTTCGTAGATATTGATATCGAAAATGGCGTATGCCTATTTACAAGTCGTGTTCAGCTTTAAGAATTCACGTGACTGTTCATTCCTCTGGCCTCTTTTTTCTACTGTATAAGTTTTGCATTAAAAGGAAGAATAAAATTTTCATAATTTTGAGAATAAATAATTGAACAGTACTACTATTCATTGACATGAAAAAAAATCCCCCACTTCCTAATTTCAATGATCGTTTCTTAATTGTCAGACCAGAAAAACTTCGTGAACATTTACCCACCATTTATAGGTCGACTCCCGACTATTATTCAATCTACGAAAAAGGAGTCTATAGTATTTTTTTAAACCAGGGGGCGTTGGTTGGCGGACTCCTTGGTTTTGTCTTTCCTATGTGGGGCGGCATCGGAAAATACGTCTCGCCTCCACAGAATTTCAAGCTTCCCACATCTACTCTGGGCTGCAACTCCAACGATACTAGTGTTCAAGATGTCATTATGTCAAGTGACTATCTGTCAAACCAAACACAACCAGCTTTGTAAGAAAAAAAAATACATTCCATATGATATCTAAACAAAATATGAAAAATGCTCACTTTAACCGTCAGTTATCAAATTGATACATGTACATGTATTTAGAGTAGGTAAAGTTGTGCATTGTATGATTTTAGAGAAGGTGTTGACCAGTTGTATGGGATCTCCTACTTGTGGTTTAGTGCCTTGGGTGTTCTTATAACAGTTTGTGTTGGATTAATAGTGAGCTGGTTCACAAAAGGTACGATATGTTTCGTATAAATCAAAGCACATAATGTTTCTACTTTATGAACCATAAAAATTAAATAGTAATATTATTTGAATTTAATTCAACGAGACACGTAATCGTGATGAACTTTGCAGGCCAAACCGAAAAAGTGGGAAAGGTACCAGATCACCTCAAACTGAAGATGTGGGAAAATCTTTGTATGTGCCTCTGCTTTCCTCCAGGTATCATTGAAAAGGAACAAAAGAAGGAGCAGGTAATAGGGGACTGTAATTTTATAATTGCACATTTAAATTTATTTATTTTTTTTTTTTGTAATTTCAATGATATATATATATACATGTAGCTTTAAATTATGAAAGTTTTTGACCATGACCTTCGAGTTTGACACACTTTTACACAAAAAATCCTAACTTTTACTTCAGAACGGTAAATACTAGGACTTTCATACATCTGATCTAATGTATATTTTTGTGAAAAGACCTTCCTCTGGACAACAAAAACTTTTGACTTTTTGACCTTGGAGATTTACGTACTTAAAAAAACTCAGCCATAAATTTTGAACGGTAATGGCTAGGGCTTTCATACTTAACATATGTAAGAGAAGACCTTTCATGGGATACCAAGATCTCTGACTCTTTAACATCGACCTACTTTTTAAAAACAAACATTGACCATAAATTTTGAAGGGTTAGGGCAGGGCTTTCATACTTCACATATTTAATCCTTGTGCATGTTACTGTAGGGATCTATATAGCTCGCAGTTAATATACTCTAAAGAAAACTTTTCCACTTCTTCTGAATATTAAGCGCCAATATAAGTGCTACTTTTGAATTCTATTTTTTTCAGTTACGAGAACAGCTCAAGAACGTACCGCCGATATTATACAGTCACAGAGAGAAAAGGTCCAGTGTCTTGTATTTGCAGCCTCCGGACGCTACCATAGAAGTAACAATTAATAACAATGATTCGAATGGCGTCTGATTCCAAAGATCACGTATTAAACAATGCAGAATCACAATGATCATCAAATACCAAAACAGATGATGGTGCATCATTTGTGGACTCTTCAAGTATAGAAGAGATATTTCAAAGAACAATAAAATAACGTGTATTTTTATTATCCACAAGGCGTAAATGATGGCTTGGAAATGTTAAACTGTCCTTTTGTTGAATTGATAAATTGTGACTATCCATATATTTATCAACAGTGTCTAAGTTTGCAGTACTTTTAGAGAAGCTGGGATTTTAATTCTGCAAGTGGCAATCCAATTTACTCTTAGATCCCTTTCTTAGGATGAAATATTAGTTCTTCAAAATATGAAGATACCCAACTGAATATCCAATTGTGCGAGTCGATGTACTTTAAGTCGTCCACTAAAACGAGGTAAAATACGCTCATTTTCTCCAGTTTTGAAGATCCATCTTTGTCTTTTGAAAATTGCAATTAAAACGTACACCTCTCCGCTCTAAATAAATACGGTGGCTTCAGATAAAGGCCCGAGCCGAGAACAGACGACAGTTTGGAAAAACCAATGCAAAGTAAAAGGCGGAGCGTGATTACTCTAATCTCTTTCAGAAAAGCACTGTTGACCAATCACATCAAACGTTTAATATTGGATGCAATGTTTAGTGGACGACTTAAACTACATCACTTGAATGACAGGATATCAGATTTGCAACACACCACTTACAGGATTCTTAAATAACCGTGATAATTTTTTTAATAAAGAATAATTATTGCTGAATAATTCCAGGCATTATTCCACCAGCTGCAAGGTATTTTATTGAAAACAAAAATTTCCGAGATCGACCTTGTGTAAATTCGGGCTGACGTTGGTTACCCTTCTCTCTTTGTATATATATAATGATAATGTCAAATCAAATATTGTATGTTACCGGCCCGTGTAATTTCTATATAAATTCCTTGGATTACTAGGAATTAAACTTTTTTTTTTTCAAAATACTAGATGCTAAAATTATTTGACTATTAAAAAATTTGCTTCCTAATCACCTAATGTCATCTATAATTTTCTGCATATTTAGCTCCCAATAATATAACATAAAACACTTCAAACTTCATAATTATGTTTAATTTATTATTATTTTGCACATATATTCTTATTTTGCTAAGGAATTTACAAGTCATGTAATGTTATCATAATTGTACACATATGGAGACTTATAAACTTAAAAGAGACCAGCAAAATTTCATACATATTCCTAGGAAAAGTACTGAAAGAAGAGATAAATGGTAGCAAAATCATACACCATAAATACATATTTTGTATGATTTTTTTACATTTATATATAAACATGTTCTTAGTCATGTGTATCAATCATGTGAAACAAACACACTAAACTATTTTCCAAGAGACACATTTGTTTGTCAATATAATTTATAAAATGTCTGCTACAGAATGGCAGGGAGAGGTCTGCGTTGTCTAGGTTGCTCTTCTTGAATTTCGGTGAGGGGTTCAAGGACTTGTAGACTAGGTAGTTCTTCTTGTACAATTTGGGCTCCGGAAAGTTGTGGTCGCAACTGGTTTGCATCTTCTTTGAGAAGGCACATAACGATCGTCTGTAACCCGAGTATTGGATTTACTCAGCTTCTCTTGGGCGTTGTAGGCACTCGTTTATTCTGGCAACAACCCGATCCCTTCAAACTGCTGGATCCTTCACTTCCGGGTGAAAATATTCGACGCAAGTCTGAATAATCGTCTTCCGTCTGCGATTCCTTTTTCCACTGATCCGCCACCATACCAGTTGATTGATTGTATATTGTTTATTGTTTAACGTCCCTCTCGAGAATTTTTCACTCATATGGAGACGCCACCATATGCCGGTGGAGAGCTGCAAATTTTGTCCTATACTCGGCACTCAGGGCCATTGAGCAGGGAGGGATCTTTTTCGTGCCAACACCTACTGCGACACGGGGCCTCGGTTTATATGGGCTCATCCGAAGGACCGGTCTCCACGTCCCGCAGTGGGATTCGAACCCGCGACGTAAGGATTGACTCTTTACTTCGCGACTCAAGAGCATACGCTCTAACCACTGCGCCACCGTACCAGTTGAAATTCACCTTAATGCATGTCACGAACAATTTCTTCATTAGAAGGCACGCAAAGTGATCTGGGTTGTTTGCTTCTTGGTGGAGACTGGCCAGGATATTATTTGGAATCCGGAGGTCTTTCAGAATTCGGCTTTGGAGGTTTTCTGTGTCTTCATCGACAGTCTCTGGCGCCACGATTCTTCGGGTCTGGCTTCGCTAAGTCCCTTTGCGCTCGTCTCTAGTCGCAGAATCCGTCGATTGGCAGCGTCAAGTTTAATGTGGGCTGGCTAATCGTGTGCATCGTATTTTTGAGGCTTTTAAGATGGTTTGTATTGGTGCTCAAGTACCCAGTGTTGTCTGTGGTCTCCGGCGTGCTTGGATGGCCTGCAAACACTTGCGACGTTGGATCTGGTGAGGTGTTTGTGCCTGTGGTGATCATTTGGGATATTATTGATGGGGTTGCTGATGTAATTGACGTGTTTGTAGCACTTGAAGCATTAGCTGTGGTGACGTTGGTGGTAAGTTGTGCTGTTGGTTTTTGTGACAAGCGTTGTCTTCGGATCTTGGTCTTCTGGTCGGCGTTGACGTCATCGGCGTGACGCCTGTGTCTGTGCCAGTCCTCCTAGTTACGGAAATTACCTTAGATACCACCTGCCTGAAGAAGAAGAGAGAATAAATTAATAACGAAGTATATTAGTAGAAAGTTGTTCATCCATGTAATAAAATTACTTACCTATCATTTTACTAATTTAATAATTAAACGTGTATTTAAGTTCAATTTTATGTCCCAAAGAATTATTGTGCAAAATTTACGCCGAACATATGCACCTTCTTTTCGCAGTTATACAATGTGCCGATTCCTGTGATTGATTTCATAGACAAAAAACCCCTTTTTTTTCTATCATGCTAAGTCGCCCGCTTGGCGCAGTGGTTATAGAGCGTCTGCTCTAGAGTCGGGAAGTAAGGAGTTGATCCTTAATGTCGCGGGTTCGAATCTTACTGTAGGACGTGGAGACCGGTCCTTCTGATGAGACCGTTTAAACCGACGTCCCGTGTTGCAGTAGTTGCTTGCACGAAAAAGATTTCTCCCTGCTCAATGGCCCTGAGTGCCGAGTATAGGACAATATTTGTACATGTAGCTCTCCACCGGCAATTGGTGGTGTCTCCATATGAGTGAAAAATTCTCGAGAGGGACGTTAAACAGTATAAAATCAACCAATTAATCTTATGATTTAAATGTAACATAGTCCTACCCTAAAGTTTGCACATTTGAATTTAGTTAACAAGGTACATGTCAATTTGAAATCTTTTGTATAATCCAACAACATACATTTACATGTCACAGTGAGCATGTAACTTGAATCGTCAAAGTTCTATTTTCTATTTATTTCCCAGATTCAAACTGCATTTTTGTCTTGTGGTAATTTATCCAGATTGTGTAGTCCTCTTCATTTAATGTGCTGTGTGTTGGTGCCATTAGTGTGGAACACTGATCAAAACTTTTGCCAATCTGGTTGGTAAATGGGACAGCCTCTTTCATTTCACCGATTAGTTTTAGTTCATTTTCATAAGCAGATTTCCTCTTGTACTTGTTTGCTCTGACATGAACACCACTGGATTTATCATACTGAGCAGAAATCTGAGCTTTACATGCGAAATCTCATGATTTTTTCACAACTGATTCTTCCAGGTTATTTGGCCCTTCATTCTGCTCATCTCCAAGTCTGATGGTATAATGGGAATACCGTACAAGTGGAAATTTTAGTGGAAAGACGCAAATTTAGCGTTTTCTATCCAAAATCTGGTATTTTATTTTTAGCGAGGAGTAAATTTAGCGATTTTACAATGCTAACTAAAGAAGCTATTACAAATAATAAGCAATTCCTTTTCAGCGATATTCAATTTTAGCAATGTCAGCAAATTCGACTTATACGGTACTTTCCAGCAACATTTGGTGGCACAAAACACGCAACATCTCCAATGCATATTTACTGCAGCTGTTGTGTGCTTTAAATACCTGCATCGCTTACTTGAAAGTTGTCACCAATCTCTTTTCCTGGCAGCTGCGGCCGTCTCTGGCTTGCTTACAAATGGGAGGGAGTGGCATCAGGTAGCACTGTTGATCGGGTGTTGCTAAAACGCGGAACGGAAAACGGAACGGAAAGCGGAACGGAAAACGGAAAATTTATGTCAAACAAATAACCTAGACTCGATGTAAATCAGATATTAAAAGCAATATTCTTGATATAAAAGTCATATCTAATAAACATTTATCGTAAGCTATGATATATTTTCATGAATCATGTACCCCTCAGAACTGGCACTTGTACATACAATTATCTATAAAATACATACCAACTAGACTCAAATCATGAGTATGCATCGTAGATAAGGAATTTTTTTTTTCTTAAATAAAAGAGCTCATTCATGAAAAAAAGGCATTGCCTTGAAATAGCAGAATAATTTGATACTAATTTGTAGATACATGTATCTGTAATGACAAAAATAACTACTATAGTATTTTTACATTCAGACTATGCAAAAATTGGCGAAACCAGGAATGTTGAAGGGGGGAGGGGTGTGAGTAGCTAGGGACCAACAGCGACACCAACAAAAATGATTTATTAAATCTTATGCATTTTTGGACACAAATAGGGAAGGAGGGGGGTTGCAACTTCTCAGACCATTTGGATGAGCGAAAAAAACAAACTCAAATGTTTTACGGGGTCATTCATACCCCCCCCCCCATGTACCATATACAAATATACTTAAACTTCATTGAATATAAAGATGCTACTGAATATTAAATTTACCACCGAAAAGTTTCCGATTCTAATATCCAGATTTTTTTTGCCTATTATTTCTCTTACCATGGTTTATCTAGATATCGAATATTTGAATATTTACCTCCCCCAACTTTTTTCCAGGCATAGCCTTTCACATTGAACCCCCCCCCCCAACACAGACACACACACACACATTTTGATATAATCATTGTAATTACTGCTTAGCAAGTTAGTATTAAAAAATTAGTATTGAAAGATGCTGGGAGTTGGAACCTCCTTTCCCCCTCCCAAATAAAACAATTGTCTTCTTTCTTTCTTGACAAATTCTTTAAAGCTCAGTTTAATCCCCCCCCCCCTTCAAACATTCACACATTCATTCAAATTCGATTCTACGTCACTGCTATGTCAACAATTTTCGTGAATAAGAGATTGAACATGACTAAATCAACTTGTATTTACTAATGGGGGATTGAAAAAGTAAAATATATATCGTTTTTGATAAAATTTGTCTACTTGAAGTGATTTTATCTGAAATAATATATTCCGTTCCGTTCCGCTTTCCGTTCCGTTTTCCGTTCCGCGTTTTAGCAACACCCCTGTTGATCCAAATAGCGTGGATTGTTAGTATATCGTTTCCTTAAACAGAATTGTAACTCCCCGTGTTCATGACGCAGATGACGATTAATGTTATTACACTTGTGGAAATCCAGGCTACAAAACAAACTGGGACAGTCATGGGGTAGACTTTACTTGACCAGCCCCCAGATCCGCAAGATCCTCGCGCTCATTGCGCTATGACGTAAAATTTACGTCACTCAACTGAAATGGGTTAAATTTGCACACTATTCGACTGATTAGGGTTAGTATAGCACCCACCTGAGAGATTAAGGTTAGTCCTTGCACTAGCATTCGACTGATATGGGTTAGTTTCGCATTCATCCGAGAGATTAGGGTTAGTCCACGCACATTGTTCGACTGATAACGGTTAGTTTCGCATCGGCCCGA